CTTTTTGGGCAGTTCACTTTATTACAGCTTTTTTTGATTTGATTTTAGAAATTTACAGCATCAAAATTGTATTTTATCAAAGAGAAATAAATTTTGAAGATGCTCCCCACTGTTATACACATAACAACCCATATTTTATGTCTAATTTAAACAATCAGTAAACCCACGAGGATCTATATTATCGTTCACAGTATGGAAAATACGCAAACCAACTTTATTAAAAAGAAAATCCATTTCAAGTATTTCAAGACTCAAAAATAACACACACAATTACATATTTTATCATTTTATTAGGAATAATTCCAAATGGGTTATGAAGAAACTTATTCATTGACTTTGATGAGTTTTCTAAAAAGTCTTCATGAAGATATGTTCACCAATAAACAATAACACATCAGCAGAACTATCTTACTGGGCAAAGAGTCAGGCTGATACCCAAAGCAACATGCAACATAAAAAAGATACAATATAAAGGAAGACAACCTGCTGAGTATTAAAAATCTCAATAGAACTCTTTGCAACCAGCACAGGACTAATTAGCTATCAATTCCAAACCACACCAAGGTGAGTTTGGCTGACGGAAGCCAGGAGTCAATAATGGGAAGAAAAAAAGAGTTCCTCAGTGCAAGATATTTGAATAGTGTTTTGGAGTATTTCCCCGGCTGGCACAAGCAGTATTAGAAAATCTTTTTGGCAAGGGAGAGAAATAAATACAAATGGAATGCTATACTTTTTATCAGCAGACTGTCCCAGGAATGATAAAGGTATCAGTAAAGTAGCAAGAGGAAACTTTAAAACATTATTTCGTGGGCTCAAAAGACATTCAAAACGGATTTATTTAAAGGTGTCACATAGCTATGTCCAGGCATTTAGGCTTAAGGGAAGTAAAATTAAAAAGAGGACACTTTTTTTTCGAAGTTAAGGAGAATTTCTTTAAAACCAAGTATATTGCTAAACAGCAATATCCCACTTGGTAAACAATAATTGGCAACAAAGTTTAAACGCTGTAATATTCTGCCCAAAACCAGTCCCATATACTGTTTAATAACCAAGATGCAAACTAATTTTGTTGTAACAAGCCCAGACCAATTCTATCAAACGACAGTGTCCTTGGTTAGACATCCAGTTTCACTTAACGTTTTGAAAGCTCGTTTGACAGCCAGTCAAGTCCCTCATACAGACCAGTTCCTTGTGTAGCACAAGTGGCTTGAACATACCACTGTAAAGAAAGGTAACAAGAAAATATTTGATTAACAAGATTATGTATGACCAGAGTGTTTAAAACAATTTTTTAAAATATTTTATTGTGTTTTAGGTGAAGGTTTACACAGCAAATCAGATTCTCATTCAAGAACTCATACACAAGTTGTCCCATGACACTGGTGACGAGCCTCACAGTGTGTCAGCACCCCCACCATTTCCACCCTGCCTGCCCTGTTTCCATCCATCCAGCTTCCCTGCCTCTTCTTGCCTTTTCATCTTTACTTCTGGGTAAACGTTGACCGTTTGGTCTCGTATAGTTGATTGTTCAAAGAATAAAATTTCTTAATAAGAAAATTAATTATTTTCCACAAATCCCATGTTACTGAGT